CTCTCACCCACATTTCCATGAATTCTCTCTTTTCCCCTAGTCACGATAAATCACGCAAATCCTGGCCGCGGTAATATATATTTTTTAATTTAATTTTCTCCACATAAAGGAGGTCAGATAAAAATGATGTCACTGGTGCAATAATTCCGGTGTTGAAAATTTTCACTGGACCCAAGTGCAGGTGTTTGTTCCTCAGCAAACGAGTTCCTCTTCACCCAAGCGTTACTCATTCTGTCAGTGCTTCTCATCTAGGTGCTCATATTTTTTCACCTGTGTATATTTCCCTCCTTCAACCCTTCCTCCTCGAGGGCCTCGTCACCTTCTTCATTTTTTCCTCACTTCTGCCCTCTCGTGTCCTCTTCACTCGCATCATTGTGCACGCGTCGTCATCCAGGTATTCTCCACACAAATGACTTCTGATAAAAAACATTTACTCTTTAAAAAAAAATGTTCCATCTGAAAATTTCCATGATTACTGAATAAACCCAAATTTTTAATACAATTTGAGAGAAATTCACCTGAAATTTATCGGCGTATCGACAGTCATAATCGAACAATGCCTTCCGTGTTCAATAAATTTATAATTTTCCAATCCCTGTGACAATTAAAAATGTTTTAAATAATCAAAACTGACAGAACAGTGAAAATCATGAAATTCGAGATGATTATTATTCGGAATTCTCGACGCATTGAAAATTCTATTGAATTCAATATTCATTCTGAATAATGAGGCTTGAAATTCAAGCGGTCGTTAGTATTAATGAATATCAGAATTAATAAATTACTAATTACAATTCACTATAAAAATGGCAATGGAATTTGTTTAAAAGCCAGGAGGAACAAAATTGATTTGATTACAAAAATTCATGAGAGAATATTCTCTTGTTTGATGCCAATTTTTTTTGTGACCAGTAGTTTTTTTTTCATGAGTACTATCTATTATCACTGAGTTAAAAATAAATCGGAGTAAGTGAGCTGTAGCCTTTGAGCAAACTGATAATGTGAACCCAACGTCGCAATATCCGCTACATGATTGTAAAAAAAAAAAACAAGTTAAAACGGAATTCAACTGGCTTTTGTTCCGGAAGGACAAATAATGGAATTGCATTCGTGGCCGCTATTTCCCTGCTGGAATTTTATGCAGAACGACAAATGCAAAAGATCATTAAAAAGTGAAAATTCTGGGGTAATTAGTCGCCTCAGTAAACCCGTCCGAAATCAAAATTATTAATCACAGGGGTAACGCGGTTTAGTTAATTCTCATTGACTCTCGTGAAATCAAACATTTCATGCGATAAAGAATTTTATAAATATGTGGTAATTTAATTGACGTAACAATGGAATATGTGCCCTCAATAGTCCGGGGAAATTCTAGATATTCAACGACAATTAATTGGTATAAAATTCGGATATCCAATTCTATCAATGGATGCTTAATATAAAATGATGAGGATTTTTATTTTGTAACAAATGGAATTCCACTAATGTTCAAATGAAACAGAGATTGGCGTGGGTTTCTATAATTAATTATGATTTTCACGAAATAATTCATTTATTCATGAATGTACTATACATGAAGATGTGAATTATTCGAAAATTGAACTCAATTTTCGGAACCAGTTTTCTTTTATCGCAATTTTTTATAGTAAATAATTTTTTTTTCAGACACAATTTAATTTTTCAACTGTTACAGAAATTTCTTTGGTTGACAAGCTTTTATATGAAAATCCTTGAGCGAGAATTCCGCTGGTGTAATTAACTCTTACCCCTGACTTTTATTAAGTTGCAGTGTCTTTTAGCGAGTGTCAGGGGTTTATTTCGATATCAGGTGTCATGAGGAGGGGATGCAGTCCGGGGTGTATCCATGGCATACACGAGGAACTAGTCCGGCACGTGGTAAACCCCAGGGAATTTGAGACGAGGGCAACCATCTCTCTTCCTCTCGTTATATTTCCCCTTTTATCTATCAGTATATGGGTTTCACCGAAACTCGGTTAGTGCCTCTGTGGGTCGAGTGCTATGGCCTCTGCACTCTCGACCCTCTCCCTCTTCTTGTTTTAACTTCAAAGTCCTTCAGCCCTTAAACAACACCTACAACAAGTGAAATTTATTAACAGTTATGGCGAGAGACTCAGAACTCTAGGGCTGACCTTTGTCAAATTATTCTTATCTTCTGGGTATCAGAGTTTATGGGGCATAAACTGGAGGGATTCTCATGGTTGTTGTAATAATACTATTTTAGTGCGGGTGAATGAATGAATTTACTATTATTTTCAGCAATACCACGGATTGCACGGACAATAACGTCGATAATAAATCGCTTGTTGTTAATTAAGAGAACAGTGGCAATTTAGAGAGTAAAGAAATCGCATGCTGGGAAGATTGTAAAATCATTGAAGTGATTAAAGTTGATTAAAACTCGATGAATTCATTAGCAAAATATTGATCCAATTATCGGACATTACTGTATATTATTACTATTGCAATAATGAAGCTTTAATAAGTGAATGTATTTGATGAACTAGTTGATCACAAGATGATCTATGGAATATTTGAATTAAAGTTCTCACTAATGACGGCTGAAAGCCCAACCCATTATCTGGATAAATTGACGTATGACGGGATTTCACATATTTTCTCATGAAAAATAGATATCATTAATTATGGATCAATTAATTATTGAACCACTTGGAATAATATTTTTTCAATTCGATTTCCGAATAAAATGCCGTGCTTACAATGATGCATAAAAATCGAATTCCCGTGATTCAGTCATCAATTAATTCCATTTTTACAGTAAAAATTTTCATTACCCAACAAATCCAGTGGAATTGAAGATTCAAAATAAATTGTCGCTTAATCGAAAAATCTGAAATTTTGTAGGACAATCATAATTATTCACTACCATGGCTGGTCAAAATTTCAGATCGATGGGACGAGTATTTGTCGAGATATAGCCAGCTGGAAAATTTTTTTTCATCAAAAATATAAAAAAAATTCATTTTTTTTTCGCTTGTAGCGTAATGTACTATTTCATACCCAGGAATCACCCCTTTCCGCGCTCCCCGGTGATAATATGGTGCGCCGCGACGATAGAGCGCAACCCCCGTCAACTGATGGTAGAAACCGTTGAATTTTCCTTCAACTGGCTCAGTAGCGCCAGGCGTCTCGACGCGGCACCACACACGAGATTATTTTCCGAGTACCTCAACCCCTCGCCCTGACTGGGTTTTCGCGCACCCCCTGCGGCTTGTATCGCGCGCCGAAGGGATCCGCCCACCCCGGGCACCCGCCGAAACCTACCCCCAACACCAGCATCACTCGGTGTTCCACGATCCTCAGCAACGACTTACGAGTAACACGCGCGTTATTCCCTCGTGTTCTTTGTTTTCTTCCGTTCAATTCGCTTTCTAAAATAATCGTGAATTATCCGCGAATTATCCGCGAATTATCCGCGAATTATCCGTTAATTATCCGTGAATTATTCGTGAATTATTCGTGAATTATTCGTGAATTATCCGCGAATTATTGGTGAATTATCAGTGAATTGTCCGTAAACTCTCGATGATCAATCAGCCATGGAACGTTGATACTCTGGGCCGATTTATCTTGCCGGATTAAACCAAGGATTAATCGTCAGCACCATGGAGACCTTCCCTGACTCCTCCAGACTGATACCAGATAGTGGTGGTTGTTGTGATTGTGGTGATAACAGTGATAACTGTGATTATTATCGGTGCAGGGCTTCCCTGATGACAACCAGTTACAGATCAAGTGTCACACGTACATTAGAGTTCACAGCTGTCATCCTGTTGCTGTCCCTCGGTCTCTCCACTGCCTACTCCTCCAAGGGTGAGTCCCTTGGTCATTTCTTATTCCGATCCCATCCGGATTTTAGTTCTCTTATCCACCGTCGGGCTTATCTTTTTTATTCGGTTGCACTCGCTTTTCCTACTCGAGACGTCGAGAGGATTTCGAGGGCTCGGGATTATCCCCGAATTTGGTGCATCTCGACTTGTTGGTGTCTCGAAACCAGTGGGATTAACGGATTCAGGGAACGGGGAAAAATCCGGGAGGGAAATTGAACCGGGGTGGAATATTCACCCGAGGGTGTTGGGGTGAGGATTTAAGTTCTCGGTGGAGGGATTTTTCAGTTTCTACACGCGTTGCGTTGGTCGCACTCTTTCTGGTTTATCATGAGATGTAATCAAAGTTCGTGGCTGTAATTATAAAGTCGATGGAAATTTCTCGGGGAGAATTTTTCCTTCGAGACCCATCGGAAGAGGAAGAAGAGAAAATTGGATGAAATAATTTAGTCATTCTTGGTTTATTGCTTTTCTTTTAAATCAATTTACAACTTTTTTTATTCAGTGCTTCTTGTGGTTTATTACAGGAAGTAATTATGGAAAATTTATCTACAAAATCAGGGCAGCAGTTGAATTTTTCTTTTTTTAGCTGTCACCTTTCGCTTGGTGCTAGGATTTTTCTTGGAAATTTCTCACCGATTTTTCTGAGAGGGAAAATGAGTTATTGGGGATTTTAGTTCGACGGTTAGTTCTTTTTGATGATTGAGGGGAGATGTAGTAAAAGTAATTTGTGAGGACATCGATATCCGCCCCTTGTGCTCCATTAGATCAACTTTAATGGAAGTACTCCACGAGTGTCGCCGGTACCTCCTTTACGAACTAAATCAATTGTTTCTACTTCGTTAGAGCCTATGGCCACTCGAGTGTTCACTCCTCCAGCTTCAGAGGCTCTTTACCCTGCTCTTTGTAGAAAAGAAAGACCTGTGGACAGGCTCTCCCTGATGGAGAGGCTGCACGTATCATTCTATCCTCCGGATGCCTGCACAGAAAAAAAAAAAGTTCAATACAAATTGCCAGAAATCCTGCGCAATTCGAATGTAATTCCTCAATTTTTACGTGACTTTTCCGTAATATTTCTCTCATATCTCGCCAAAACTCAGTTCCTCACGCAATTTTTCACCGAAAGACATTTTAGAATTACCAGAGAGAGAAACTTTCTCGATTTTATCAAAGAACTTCCTAGATTTGCGAAAACTTTTTTTTTTCATTCTAGAAAAATTTTTCTGGACGTCAGGAAAAACTTTCTATATTCAGAACAATTTTCTTTTTGAGATGAAAAAGTTTTAGTGAATCTAGAAACTTTTTTTCTCTAGCGTAAATTTTTTATAACTTCAAACTTTATCTCGTGAGGATTTTTTCTCTGGGAATTTTTTACTGAATTTTTTGCTGTACGATGGTAAATGGGTATTTCATTTATTGCTTGATAATGCTCTCATCATTATTTCCAGCTTTTGAAGTAACAACAGCCTTCAACTGCGCGTTAATCAGGGGCTTTGGATCCAAAATAATCTCTTCTAATCCCGGAATACGTGTGGAAAATTGAATATTTAACTCATTTAGGCGATTTGGCAGCAAACAGGCTTAGCGAGCTCCAATAATTCATCGTTAGAACAGAAGTGGATTAACTACAAGCGAATACGAGATTTACTCACTAATAATTCGAGATTTCCGTACTTACAACATAAAGGAGTCGATATAAAATAATCCGCAATAAATCCGCAACCAAATTTCAGCCGTTGATGAGTTTTCACCAAATATCACAGAATCAACGGGTAATATCGAAATTTCCATAAAAACCTTTTCTATAGAACCAATCAAGCCCTACAAAAAAGGTTCTCCAACAATTTCCCCATCTCCCCTAGATCCGCAGATATTCCCCAAAAACTCCGCTCTTCAAAATTACGAACCCTGAGGATCGACCAGAAAATCCGAGTTCTCCCAAAAAATGGCGCTAAAATGATAAAAATTCAACGAGGCCTCATTTTTTACAGTTACATCATGGTGAATTTTCTATGAATTTATCTCTGCGCGTGAAATGAAAACAATGGAAGTGAATATTCCCTACCGCCAATGACAAAATTGCATTGAGTTCTGCCAGAACCCGCGGTATGAATTCAATTCGCTGTGAAAAAAAACATTTTAATTAGAAATGCGCCATAGGACATTCAAAGGACATACAGGGACATTTTGAGGTCACCGAAACGCGTTTAAAATTCACTGAATGCACTTTGTTAGCCCGGGCATACTCCGGAGAGCGTATAAAACGTGAGGTGACATGGGCCGGGGCTCTTGTGGCTGTATTCACCGTCAAGGATGGTCAGCTCCAGGGGACATCTGAATGCGGATAGCGTGGCATGTGTAAAAACAGCTGGAGTAAAAAGAAATTCAAGCGTCAACTAACTCAAGTTGAAAGAGGGACAGTAAACGTGAACAGAGTCCCCACAGCCACTGCTGTCTCTCCTGTCATTCCATTTAACGTTGAAGCTCTTGACTCGTTTTATTCCTTTCCTCCAACCCTCAATTGACCATTATTCGTTTTTTACTCATCCTTTCGGCCCTCTCACCTGCCATGAATACTATGCATTTGCAATATTGCAAAAAATGAAAAAAACTCCCTCAAAAAATATACATTCATCTTCTAACAATTGCAATTTTACTACTCTCTATTAATTAATTCTCGAACCTCGACGAATGGCTTGAGAAGAATTAATTTTCGGTCGTTGTAATTGGTTACTTGTTCACCAGAATTCTCGAGAAGGCACTCTGCAATTATTTAATCCGCAATTAGTATTTAATCTACCCTTTGATAATCTCGATGCCTCGGTTATCCATGGAAAATGGGTAAATTCCATCCTCAACCTCGATTTTCATAATCGGTGCAAATGGCTTTCACACCGTAGGTCCTGGAAAATGGAGCGTATGGGTGAATATTTCGGAATTTCACATTCAGGAAACCGCACCTCATGCCAGTCGACACGAAATGTCGTCCAGTTTGTAGCCACAGCAAGACAAGCTCATCTGCGGTTAGTTTCGAATATTCATACGTTATCTGACATAGAGAACCGCAGGATTAAACTGAACAGCGCACTCCGAGGTAACGAGCCAATATTATTGGCTATTCCAGTTCAAGAAAACACTATTGTCACAGCATTGCGCCACATTATGATGTATCGTTACGACTATTATTCATCCATACTATTCCGATAATAGTTATCAGTATTTGCACCGCCATATATTTTCACGTTATGACTTTATATAACTGGAGTGCTCGGCAATTTATGGATATAACTGGAGTACTCTATTGAACGCATTCATAACTTGAATCGATTGGTGCATTAGGATAGGTTCCTTGAGGGAATCGGTGGAAATTCGGTGAAATTCCGAGAGATCTAAAAACCTGATGATCTAAAAATCACATCCCAAAATGACATCACCTAATTAAACCAATTAACAAGTGATTATCCGGACAATTGGGTTCTCCATGCAGTTCAGTAAACAATGAACATATCCAGGGTATTGTCCGGCTGAAATATTGACAGAGTAGTGGACTCGAAACTATTTAATCCTGGGATCGATACTCCGATGATGCTGTATCACCAATATTGAATAGTACACTCAATTAACCACAAACTGACTCGAACTTTATGAAACTATATGGTACCGCAGTTGTGAAGGTTGCATCTCCACGCAAACATTGGGCCACAATGAAATTCACCTCAACTATAGTTGGTACATGTATGTATTTTATCTCGTGTATGTGCTGGGTGAGAAATAGGATGACATAGTGGCTGAGTGTGCGCTGTATGCAGAGTCAGAGGGTGGGAAAAGCCCTGGGTGAATGGGTGTGGGAGTGGTGTCTCCTGGTTTTGCCCTCTCACTCACACCCGGCGATACCTTCTGCACGCTCTGGTGGATCTGCGGTTAAATTCGTCAGAGGCACAAGGCGCTGACGAGGCTCCAGCGGTAGCTACTCGGCTTTTCCTCATGGACGACTTCTTCCAAAACCTCTTTCACTCCATATCCCTCTTCCACTTATCTTTTTCCAAACGACCTGTCAATTCCAAGGGACTCCACGGACTTCGTACCACTGGGCTCGCCAAATTATCGGGAATTATCACAATCGCTAGTCATATTTTAATCCATACGTGATTGACTTTTTTTATTTCGTCGTTGGAAATTTCTGTTCTCAGTGGAAACTGTTTTTCAGTTATTTTCCAATTTTCTACGAAAAGAATGGTGAAAGCATTGAATCCTTCCGACAGAATCCAACTTCCTCTGATATTCCCTTTTCTTGGATTCGTCCCTTGATTGGGAGGCGTCGAGTGTCTAATTATGTTCATTGAAAGTGGAATACCTGGAATAACAAAGATGAAGGGACAGGCGAAATGGAAAAAAACTGGAGTGAATGCAATTTCGCTGGATATAAATTCCAATTGGTTTTTCGATTTCCCCGTGGTGGGAAGACCATTAGCCGGTCGATGGGGCAACGCGATATTCATTCTAATTGAATAGTCTCCAGCAATCTTCGGCCATCATCTCCGGGGCTCTTCCCCAGCCGTTCGCTGCTCACTGGAGTGAAAAGGCTTTCAGCTTTTTGGCTGAACAGTTTGAGGCAGATGAAATGGTCTGGACCCTGTGTTTCAGGGTGACACCAGAATGTACCACTCACTGTTGGGAGGACAAATTTTGGGGTGAGGTAAATCGGGAATGGCTGTCGGTGTGTACCAGTTCGAAATGCTCACTCTCTGGGTGATTCATTGACATTAATCTCGTAAACTTCTCCACCGCTGGCGATTGGTGTCGGGAGACTGGGGATTGTCTACGGTTACGTGGCTTTGTGTCTCGTGAATGGAGGAGTATTGATTCCATTGTTGCAGCTTGGGGGGTCAAGCAGGTGAATTTTACTCGACTGATGAGAATTTAGGGAGCCTGCGGCCATTTCACGAATAGTTTTTCCAATCGGGGAGAAATTTCCGAGGAGATTTC